AACTCTTTACAATTGCCTGTAAACTGGCATAATAAACATATTATTATAACTGCATGAGTCACAAAGCCAATGAAGTTGCCGTTTACTTGAGCCCACAATCTGATTGGTCCGACTGGACATGGCTTGTACACGTGTTCGCTTGCCTTAAGTATGTTGTACTAGGTTTGCTCCAAGACTGCTGCTTTCTGCGCTCTTCTTGTTGTGTTCTTTCTTGGGGGCTCACACAAGGCGTACCGTAGACGGCGATATCGCAGCTTTAATCACATTTACAACAAGTTGTTTTAAAAAAAGTTGGCAGACAGTGAAAAAACTCCTTGGGACTTTTTAGAAGAAAAACTGTCGCTCTTGTGGGGAGGAGGATCTGATGGGGTGTGGGGTTTAGGAAAAAACTTCTGCTCTTGGGGTAGGGTCCAGTAGGGGGGTGGGGTCATTCCAGAGGTCACCGGGATCATCACCGAGTGCGGAAGATGCGGCCTGGTACTTCCTTGCTGATTGCAGAGTCCGTCGACAAGGTTGAAAAAACAGAAACTTCCGCCGAGGTCGTCGACAGTCCGCTGCGGGTCGAACCACGGGTGAGTTTTTTGGCCCCACGTTTGGCTGATGCGATCGCTGACGGGGTCATCACGGTACGCCGGTAGCTAAGTTACCAAAACCGCGGAGACCTTCGTATGGCATTAATGGTGGGAGAGCGTGAACCATGCGTAAAATAGCAAATACAAATTTTACTGAAACATAATTAGTAGTATATATATTGCAATTTTTTCACTGTCCGTATACGAGTCGATTGAAGTTGAACGCTGCTTATCTTAAAACGTTATTATATAAAACTAATACTACTGAAATATGCAAAGTAGTAGTATAATTGTAAGTTGTTGGCGGCGGCGTTCAGTTCATATTGTAGTGGGTACTGCTATATCGATCAAACTTTCGCTTAAAAACCTCTAGGGATTCCGACATAACGACATCAAGAGCACGAGTATTCCAAGCTTCGACCACCCTTTCGGAAAAAAAGTACTTCCGTTTGTCCAACCTGGCCCCAGTCACACGTAATTTGAGAGGATGACCTCTCAATTTCGTTGTGGTTGCTAACTCGAAGAAATCTGATACAAAACAGCAGTCCTGAACGCGTAATATGCGGAATGTTAGTATCAGGTCTCCCCGAAGCTGTTTTTTAGCGCAAGGGAAAGAGATCGACATTTGACAGCCGTCAATCTTGTTTAGACTTGCTGTTAGGATACGAGGCCCTTTAATTACAGACTTAGTCCTGTGGTAAAAATAAATACAAAAATGATAAACAGGGCTGCGCGTAAGCTACTGTACAAAAAGGAATGAGTAGTATGTTACACATAGTAAGCCAGTTCCGATTTACAACGGATACTTATGAAATAATAGTCGCTAGGCAGTACTAAAAACTCCTACATCGGTGACAGAGTTCAGTGAGCCACCGATTTCTTACAAAAATATAGGAGAAAAAACTGCTTAAATGGGTAGTTAGATTGGTATGATAAGATATGATGTAATGAGATGGGATAGGGATGATTAGGGTTCGGAACACTCCTTGTCGTGGAAAAAAATCATATAGCATCATGGGGGTGAGACTCGAGGAGCTCTTCGGGGACAACGGGATCGAAGCGAGGAGGGGACCGTAGAAGTCACGGCAGCATCACCGAGATGCGACCCATCAGACCGCAGAGTCCACCGACAAGTTGGCGACAACGTAAGAACCCGCGATGACCATCAATAGCTACCTCGAAGACCACCGTCGGGGTTGTAAAACGGAGAAGAGTTTGCATCATTTGGAAATGATACTTGATTCTGCAGAGGAAAATGTAAGCATATTTAGAGCCCACTTTACTCTCTTGGGAAGAGCCTCAGATGCCAGGAGAAGCTTTTTCGAAGTCTAAAAGTTGCGTGTTTGGGAAGGAAACAGACAGTAAGGACTTTATTTCCTCCAGTAGTAGGATCCACAAAATGTGCTATGAGCTTACTTACATCTACACAGTGGGCTCAGAACAATAAATTAATTGATCGGCTGCTCGACACGCCTTCTTCCTCGTCCATGAAAATACCTGGTTCGCAAACCCTCTCATTCATTCCATACAGTAGCCCGATTCGCATTTGTTTTTTTCAATTTTTTTGTCCCGCACGAGTGGCCTCCAGCCACAAGCCTTCACGGGTGACGAGCAGCTCCATCTTTTTAAAATTTTGATTTATTTATGGCGAGTTTACGGGCAGGACAAAAAACAGATAAACAGTAGAGGATCGAGCTGCCAGTGAAACAAATCCGCATCCTGCTCTCCAGTGTTTTTTCAGGGGAATAAAAAACTGCAGCTCGTTGAATGATTGAAGTTCGGGACGGGCAGGCCTTGACGCAGCTGCACGGTGTGGTCAGTCTCCATTCAGTGTCAGGGATCTGGTATTCTGCACCAGATAATAGTGTGTCGGAGAACGACTGCGGGCCGCAGAGTCAGCACCATTGCTCTCAGCATGAAGCCTAGCCAGGGTTTAGAGTCCGCGAACGCCATCAGACCGGAGCAGAGATTCCATCGAGTCATCACCCAAAATTCGTGAAAAGGTGTCCTGAATGTGGGCAACTAGTGATAGCCTTGCTGAAGTTTGATACTCCTTCGTAGCTTATTCTAGATTGCTATGACGTTTAATGAAGAAGAAAAAAACTGGCGATATCTAACTGTGCGTGCCAGAGGAAGAAATAAAAGGAACTCTCGACGACTGGTGTGCCGAGAGTGGTCGAGCTGCTTTAGTGTAGACAGGTAACAAGCGAGCCACTCGCAGAAAATTCGTTTTGATTGATGAGCTTCGCTCAGTTAACAAGTTGTCAGTGCATGTTTGTGTGTCTGTGTCTGCCTTGCTCCGAGGTCGTGGGTCTTCGGTCACCTGCAGCCACTCAGTGAATTAGTGCAATTTGATTGGCTACGTTTTGCAAGACGAGCGTTCCAGTTGACGAGGTCGGTGCTGGAACGGATTAAACTTGTTAACCGAGGTTCCGCTGTATATTTAACGGACCCTACGAGGTATCCGTAAGTAGTATCCATGCTGTCCGTATACTACTGACTGTTTGCTGGAAGTTTGTAAAAATTACGCGGTTATTCAGCGCAGATATTCATATCAACTGTCAGACGGAGGTTGCTACGGTTTGTTCCGAAGGATTTACTTCAATTTACTTCGTGCATTTCTTCCCTCGAAAATTAAACAGGACAGCATTTTCTGGAGCCCAAGACGGCGATAAAAGAGAAGTGAACAGTCTGATCGAGTAAACCAGGGTTGTTGCAACTATTGTACTGGAATTACTCTTGTCTGGACGTCAATGCTAACGAGAAAGCTAAAGCTTTCTTATCTGCGATTTCGGCCGCGCCAAATGCGAACCCGATGAGGTAAGAGGTCAGAAAATACGGGTTTAGGATGAAACTACTTGACTGGGTAGGGACATAATGAAAGGGCCCCTTGGGTAGTGAAAGGGCCCCTTGGGCCTTAAATATACAATTTATTTATTTATTTACCTTGAAGAGTTGAGCTATCAAGAGCTATTTCGAACCGGATACTAAAATCCTACACCTTTGCTGGAGGGTTCTCCCTGCTCACCATCTAGCTATTTGTTTGACTGTGATAGGGTTCGCAAAGCTCAAAAACCTGTTATGCATAATGAAAAATGGAAGTAAGTCAACAAATAAAAAGTCGGTAAAACACATGGATGGTAGGGATTTCTTGTGAGATCGCTCTTGTCTCTGATTAATAATTTAAAAAACCACGTACACATTTCAGTTTTCCGTCCATTTAAACACTTCTTTAATTATGTTAACCAGTAGGAGTTGCTCCACTAGCTTTCTCGGTCTAGAAAGCTTCATTTTCCGTCCTTTCCGCAACCTTTTCGCCTACATTTTGACTTAAGTAAGGTAATTGCAAGCGGCTTTAATTTCCTTCCTATTGCACAGTTTTCACGCACCTATACGGCCACTGGTTTGCCCCGCCCTTCATTTTCCCTGTAACACACACTTGGGCGGGTAACTTTTGCCGTGAGACGACGGCCTCACAAGAAAGCCTTACCAAACAAGATTCATGCGGACAAAACTGGTTGTGGCAAAGGGCGCAGAGCCATTCGAGCATGCGTCAAGTAATAAAGTGCTGTCTGAGCGAGATGCGATTGGTTGACGCATTGGCCCGCACTCGACTGTGCGAGCTGAGTCATTGTTGGCTGTGATGAGGATTCTGAGGTTGGTGCGCACTTCTAGCTGCATTAATGCATGCGAAAAAGGAAAGGGGCGTCTTGCATAAGAAGATGCAGACGCAAGCGATATTCGGTGGTAGGCCGTTCTGTCGACGAGTTTGAGCCTAAAAGCTGGGGCCGTCCTCAAGAGATTGTAATGCCGCAGAACGACCCTAGTGTCTACTGCACTCTATGGCAAACCTTAACGGATATTTCGAACCTCCGGAGGTATATCTTTCTGAGTCGGCAGACTTTCTTGTGGGCGCATCCGGTTATCTACGGCGCCATTTTCAAGTTTCTAAAGTGCATGTCTGTCTTTTGTTATTATTAAACTAGACCAACTTCTGCATATAATAAGACCGCTGACGAAAGGAAAGATGCCGGTTTGGCCTACACCATTTTCACCATCGCCTTTGCCGTCCTCAGGAGCTCTGCCTGACTGTAGAACATAGAGTGAACTTTGTGTGCGTCTGTGGAGTAAAATCAAACTCACACTCAACCCTGTTCACGAACGAAGCGTTTTCGGTCCAACATATCTCAATGCATTAGCCGTGGGCTCGGTTGGCGTAACCCATTAAGTCGTCATTCGTAAGTGCTGCAATACAGCTGTGCCTCTGTCTTGTGGCTGGTGGAACCTATCCAACACATGCCTTCAAAATGGCTACGGTTTTAGGTCACGTCTGTTCAAGCTGCGTTAAGATAACAAAAAATAGGCAGACAGCCGCTTGCTTCAATGCGACGCATAAGGAACCCCACCTCATAACACTTTAGTGACTGGGAAAGTCTTTTACCCAACTGGTCTTTTGGCGATGCCGATATATTCTCTGAAAACCTGTGCATCAGAGGTCAGTAGCTCACTAACTTTTCAATACTCAGTGTTGGCCTGCAAAAAACCTCCGGTCTGGCCTTTTCTAACGCCCCAACAAACAGTAAATTGCCTCAAAATAACTGCTAGCGTTTGCTTTCCGTCCATGCAGTCATTGTCCAAATTGAACAGTTACATAAATGGAAGGGGTTCGGGAGAGAGCTCGAAATATCAGGCCGATAAACGCCATGTTCCAGAGATTGCATCTATCGTGAAGGGCTAAAAGAGTTAAACCCTAGCATCTGCGACCTTCAGACCATGGTGCCTTAGGAGGGAAAAAATCGGTGGAGGCCAGAATAGTAGCAATAGTTTATTCTGTATACAGAGCAACGGAGAATAAGCAGGAGGAAGTTTGACCTCGGAGCGCACGTCCTTCCGCTGAAGCAGTGTGGTCCGAAGTGACGAGAGCGTCGGCAATCGCCGGAATGTCAGCGTATGCTTTGTTACAACAGCCAATCACGCGGCTAATGTCTAGACTAGCGGTCGTGGCACGATCTTGAGATGGGCAAAGGCTGGCCTGCGCGCGTGGCCACCGTGAGGCGTCTGTCAACGACTATTAGCGCCTGACCCCAGGCGGCGGTGCGCGCGCAGATCTTGCAGGCCAAAAGCGCAATGCGTCGGCGGCTGATCTTGGTTTCGAAGTGGCTGCCAGGGGCTACTACTCATCTTCTTTTAAACTGCTTCCTGAAAATCGTTTGTCCGGTTCTATCAGTTTCAGCTTTTTTTCGTTTTTTAAACTTCCGGAATCAGATAGTTCTTGGGAGATGTTTCACATGCAGTGAGTTCTTGACCTCCTTTTTCCCCAGATGTCTGTTTGAGTGGCACGAAACTCCTCAGCTAAAGAACCTGGACGTCCACGACGAGGGTCATCGACGCCTATGCCTCTGATCATTTAAAAGCCTTTGAAAACTTACCTCTGTGAAAGTTACTCTATTCAGTTATTTTATAGAAATTATTCGTCAGTTTCCATGGGAAAATCGTACAGAAAAGCCACTTAATTTGTTTATGCACTTTCGTGAAAGCTGGTGATAGTTTTTCGGCCGAAGTCAACAAGATCCAATTCCTTAATTTTGGAAACTTTTGCATTTAGAGGTATTCCTCAAAGGGCTAGGGCGACGCCCTTTTCATTCGCAGCACTCCGACAGTACAAAACTTATTTCATTCATTCGTGAACAAAACTTATTTTAATATATACCCAAAAGCTCACCTGGCCGCTTGGTGTTGGGTCATTCGTGGTTACTTATTGGTGGTCCATCGGGCAAAAATAGCTCATGTAACTCCACCATTTATCCCCTAGGTCCCAGAATTTTGTCCTGAAAAAACGGTGGTTATAGAGTTTTGTGGGGTGGGGAAGTAGGATAGGAGAGAAAGAAATTTTTAGAAGTAAGTGTAAAGTGAAAAAATGTAGTCGAAGTAGCTTCCCGCGGCCGCTGGGAGCATGTTGTTTCCGCCTGTAAATTGAAGGTGTGTCGCTTAGCGCCGCGGACTATACTAATCTAACTCCAGAACGGTAAGTTGGACCTCAGGTGAGTTGCTTCCCGCGGCCGCTGGGAGCAGGTTGCTCCGCATGTAAATTGAAGGCGTGCGCGGCATTTCGCGCCGCGGACTATACTAATCTAACTCCAGAACGGTAAGTTAGACCACAAGTAAGTTGAAGTAGACCACCTCCTAACCACCACTC